CAAATTCATGCATGGGTGGGGTCGGGCTGGCCCACCCAGTGCTGATCAGGGGCAGGGCTGGCTGGGGGGAGGGGCTGTGGGCGGTTGCCTGGTCGACCCTGCCCCAGCCCCCTGGTCAAATTCCCAATGGAACTTCTCTCCCCAGTGTTGAGTGAGTTGTTACAGTGTGACGGTGTGAGGGCAGGGTGCCCATTTGCATATTAGCTCTTTATTATATAGGATAATAGTTAAAATTTATATAGATAAATAAGAATTAAATATTTTAGGAATTCTTTCAGCTCCTCTTGAAGATTTGCCTTAACACTGTGTTTGTGCTTTATCTTTTGTATCTTTTTGTTTAGTGATACATGTACTTCATTTAAAGAGGCAGGCAATTAATTCTCCAAGATTTGGTATTAGGAAAAAAATCAGTAGAGACAACTTTCCATTTTTCCCTTTGATTCTTTATGTATTTGCCTGTGTGTCTTTAAATGAAATATCTACATAAGCTTGATTTTTTTTTTAAATTGGAAGGAAGAGTTATCAATGTGGATTTCCCACAGTGTAAGAGGGGATTAGGGCTCTTCCACTGCCTCTGAGCTCCTTACCTGCATCAATGGTTGCCAGCTCTTCTTCCTCATGAGTCGGCTTCTGTTGGGTCAGTGTTTAATATAACATTATGAGACTCAGACTCATAATGGAGCCATGATCTGTGCTGTGACTCTTCTTCCTTGCATGACAACACTTTGTTTTCTGGACTGAATAATTGTTGCCTATTTATTTAGTTCTCTTGAGTACCTTTTGCAGGTTGCAATCCTAGTCTTTTGCCTTTTTCTAATAATCTCTTCTTGTACATTAAGACGTTAGGATTTTTCACTTTCCTCTTCCTAAGGAACTTGAAATCTTCTGGCCCACCAAGTTTCTTGGTTATCAGCCAGGCTGTTGCCAGCTGCCCTGTCTGAGGTTTTTTACATCATCGTTCTGCAGACTCCTTGTGACCTGAGTCATCTTTACCACTTTCTCCCCACCATCATTTTTTCTTGGATAATTCCCCCGTTTTGAAGGAGCACATCTTTCACTACCTTCTTGAGAAAGGGTGTATGGGAAGTTAAGTTTTTGAGATCTTGCATATCTACAGATGTCTTTTTTTATCCTGTACTAAGATTTTTTTTCTGTCTTTAGTTTTCTAAAAGTTTAATTATGATATGACTTGGTCTGGATTTCTTTAGGCTGATCCTGTTGTGTTGGTTCACTCAGCTTCTTGAATCTATATATGATTCTTCTGCCAAATTTGGGACACTTTCAACCATACTTCTTACACCACTTCTCAGCGCTGTTCTCTTTTCCCTCTAAGACTCTGATGGTACCAGTCTCAGATCTTTGTTATTTTCCACAAGTTCCTGGAGCTCTCCTCTTTTTTCTTTTTTCACTGTCAGTTTGAGTAAATTTTATAAGTTCTGTTTCTTTTCTGAGGTTTTCTATTTTATTCTGTATTAGAGGCCCGGTACATGAAATTTGTGCATGGGGGTGCGTGTCCCTCAGCCCAGCCTGTACCCTTTCCAATCTGGGACCGCTTGGGGGATGTTTAACTGCTGGCAGTTGGACATCCAGCTCACAATCCAGGACTGCTGGCTCCTAACTGCTTGCCTGCCTGCCTGCCTGATTGCCCCTAAACTCTTCTGCCTGCCAGCCCGATTGCCCCTAACCGCTCCCCTGCTGGCCTGATGGCCCCTAACTGCTCCCCTGCTGGTCTGATTGATGCCTAACTGCTCCCCTGCTGGCCTGATTGACACCTAACTGCTCCCCTGCCGGCCTATTCACCCCCAACTGCCCTCCCCTGCTGGCCTGATCGCCCCAACTGCCCTCGCTTGTTGGCCTGATCACCCACAACTGCCGTCCCCTGCTGATCATCTTCTGGCGACGTTGCGCATGATGCCAGGTAGGCTTTTGTTATATTGGATTGAGAGAATTTGTAATTGCTTTTTGAGGACTTTTGATGATGAAAACTTTTTCTGATGATCCCAGCATCTGCTTCATCTTGTTGTTGCTATCAATGTCTTTTCTCATTTAAGCTGTGATTTTACATGTTCTTGGAATGAGTTGTTTTTTATTGTATCCTGGAGACTTCGGAGAGTGTATTAAGTAGGAGATGCTGGATCCTACTTAAATCTTGTATCTTAGCAGCCTTCGGCCCTGATTGGGTTTAGTGAGTGGTCCTGGCCTAGGTTGGTAGGCTATAGGTTCCAGTGACAGCTTAGTTTGCCTTAGTCCTCTCCTGAGGCTGGATGGAATGTGAGGAGATTCTAGGTCTGGGTGGTCCCCTGGGGCTAGGTGGAGTGCAGGGGAGCAGGGGAGGATGCCTTGTTAGATATTTATAATGCATAATAGTTAATATGTAATATAATATATAAATATTTATAATATTATATTTATAGTATATAATAGCTAAATAGATAAATAAGAATCAAATATTTTAGGATATTTAATGATGTGGTAGCCTGCTACCACCTGGTTTGGGTGGAGGCTGGGAATCCCTATCTGATTTTTGCTAATATCACCTACGAAGGTGGAGTACTGATGCTCTCTGTGGGGTGTGGGATGTTCTACTCAGTCTCCGTGGACCCCCAGGTGCAGGCTGAATACCTGTACCCACTGTCAGTGCCTGCCTGCTGCTCCTTTGCTGCTCCTTGGGCCAGGAGGGCATGATTTTATTTGTCCTTATTTGCTCTTATGGTGTGTCTGGGTTGTAAGCTCCTCTGACACCCACTCTAGGATATAGATGGCGATAAAAAGAAACTCTAGTCAGTCTCCCTTTGTCTTCCCACACTTGAGAGATCTGTAAATATGCTTAATTTCTGAGAAAAATGCAAACTAAAATGAGGTACCATATCTTCCCATCAGTTGGCAAGAATAAAAATACTTGACAATGTTCAGTATTGGTTAGATACTGTTGGTTGGAATGTAGCTTGTGTAAGTTTGTAAAATGTTTTTGGGTGGTGATTTATAAATAGGTACTAAAATTGGAAATGTCATACATGTTCTGAGACCTGAGTTTAACATAATAGATTTATTTACAGATGTTCAAAGATAGAAGTGCCTATAATTTTAATCCAGCCTTGTTTTGCAATAGAAAAATACTAGAAATAGCCTTAAATCCAGTAATAGAGAATTGATTAAGTAATTAATAGCATAGTCATAAAGCTAGTTAAGATTAAAGTAACTATAAGTACTGAAAAAATGACTACAGTGTATTAACTTTTTGTAAATTGTAGAGAAGTATGTATAATATCTATCTATCTATACATATAATAGAGAAATATGCTAATTAACCGAGACGCCATAATGGGTCGACCAGATAGGAGGAGGTTGTGCATGCAGCATTGGGGGCAGGCCGGCAGGGGCCTCCGAGTGCCTGCGCTGGGGGAAGGCTTGATTAGCAGCGGCTCTGGCTGCTTCAAGGGCCGGAGAGGGAGTGGGCAGCGCCGTGCGATTTTGAATCGTGCACTGGCCTCCTAGTAAGACCATAAACATGTATGTGAAAATGTGTATATGTAGACATAACAGTGACAGGAATAAGACCTTTCAGGCCATTAAGAGAATTTCCTCCTGGACTGGAAGTGGGGTGGTAAGGTGGTCAAGATGCACTGTGGGAGATAGGAAACTTAAATTTCTCAAACCTTCCTCTGCTGTTTAGGGTAATCGTACTACATTTATGATAGTAAAATATATAATTATTCCATAATGACTTAGACCAGTGATGGTGAACCTTTTGAGCTCGGTGTGTCAGCATTTTGAAAAACCCTAACTTAACTCTGGTGCTGCGTCACATATAGAAATTTTTTGATATTTGCAACAATAGTAAAACAAAGATTTATATTTTTGATATTTATTTTATATATTTAAATGCCATTTAACAAAGAAAAAGCAACCAAAAAAATGAGTTCGCGTGTCACCTCTGACACACATGTCATAGGTTCACCATCACTGACTTAGACTATACTTCATGACATTTTTCTTCCCTTTTCTCTTTTTTAGGACATGACCGATAATAGCAACAATCAACTGGTAGTAAGAGCAAAGTTTAACTTCCAACAGACAAATGAAGATGAGCTTTCCTTTACGAAAGGAGATGTCATCCATGTCACTCGAGTGGAGGAAGGGGGCTGGTGGGAGGGCACACACAACGGCAGGACTGGCTGGTTCCCCAGCAACTACGTCCGAGAGATCAAGCCCAGTGGTAAGTGGAGTATTGGCAGAATGGACTGATGCTTTTCCTTTAGGTGAGAAGGAACAGAAAGAAATGAATGTGCTCAATATATATATATGTATATACACTATGTGCTTTTATTTAGTTGAACTTGTGTAAATGACCTTGGGCTGAGTATTGAAATTCTTCCCTATTTTTTGTTTTATGGGAAGTAATTTTTTACTGTACCCCCACATTGGGGGTATAATGACTTCTGACCAACAGGCAATAAATCAAGGTTCCCATGACCCCCTCCTTAGGTTTGATATTTTGCTAGAATGACTTACAGAACTCGGGGGAAATGCTAACTAGTTACATTTCCTGATGTGTTATATAATAATGGATACAGATGAAGAGTCACATAGGATGAGGTCCTGAAGGTTCCTGCACCCAGAACCTTCTGTCCTTGTGGAGTTAGGGGGTACCACCCTTCCAGAATGTAGATGTGTTCACTAACCTGCAAGCTTTCTGAATCTCATACTATTGGGGTTTCTATGGAGGCTTCATCACATAGGCATCATTGGTCATTAGCTCAAATCTCCAGCCCCTCTCCCCTTCCTTGAGATAGGGGTAGGGCTAAAAATTCCAAGCTGATTTCTAATCATGGCTGGGTCTTTTTGGTGACCAGCCCCCATCTGGGAGCTGACCCAGAGAGTCATCTCAGTAGAACAAAAGATGCTCCTAGTGCTCTTATCACTTAAGGAAATTACATGGGTTTTAGCTTTGTGCCACAAACTGGAGGCAGAGACAAATATATATATTTTCTGTTTCACAACCACATTTTGTTTATCTTTTCATCTGTTGCTGGACATTTGGGTTTTCACCTATTGGCTGTTATGAATAATGTTGCTATGAACACAGGTATCTGTGTAAGTCCTTGCTTTCAGTTCTCTTGGGTATATACCTAGGGGTGGAATTGTGGCTCATACGGTAATTCTGTGTTAAATTTTGAGGAGCAACCATGCTATTTCCACAGCAGGTGTATCATTTTACAGTCCCACCAGCAATACAAAAGGGTTCTAATTTCTCCACATTCTTGCTAGCACTTTTTTTTTTATAATAGCCATCCTAATGGGTGTGAAGTAGTATCTCATTGCTGCTATTTTTCTGTGCTTGTTGATAATAAGCAGTATTTTTCATCATTATTATAATAAAATTAACAATAGTCAAGATTTTGTGGTTGCTTATTATGTTCTGGTTATTGTATAAAGTGCTTTTTATTTGTGACCTCATTCAATCTTCACCACAACCCCAGAAGACAAGTGTTGCTGGGATATTCAGGGCATATGGCACAAATAAATAATATTCTTTTAATCTATTCAAGTGTAGATCCAGCTGAGAGTGGAGTAATGGTATCAGGTTGATCAGGATGAAATGCCATTTTGACCTAATAGACACAGCTGTTGGGAAATGTGACTTAGTCTGTAACTTGTTTGGACCTGGTCAGTCCATGGGACAGCTGGACAGCCATAGCACTGGCCCTTGAGCTTGAGAGCTGGGGCAGGCTGAGCCCTGGATCTGAGAGCAGCTCCTTGGCTAGTCTCACATTCCCGTGATTCATTTTTCTCCTGGGGACGAGAGAACAGCACTTGGGCCTTTTCCAGGAGGATGCTGGAGTCAAGGAGGGAGAGGGATGATGGGCTTTCCCTTTACAGTGAGGATGAGGTTGGTCACAGAGCTGGTAATGGGCACCATCAGGAGGGCACAATGCTGGTAATGGGCACACCATCAGGATGCACAGAGTTGGTAATAGGGACTGCATCAGGAGGCACAGAGCTGGTAATGGGCACACCCAGGAGGTCACAGAGCTGGTAGGGCATGCTATTAGGAGGTCACAGAGCTGGTAATGAGTACATCATCAGGAGTGGAGCCCACTGATTGGGTAGATGTTTGCTGAATCTGGGCTTTCTTGAATTCTGCTGTGAATGACTCATTTCAATGGGAATTCTGGTATGATAGTAAAAATACAAATGAATGAATTTGTACTTTGGAGGTATTTCTCCTCATGGAGTTTTCAAAGTTAATCTTTGCAAATTAGGAAAGATAGAGTTTGAGTGAGTCTCAAAGTTCTCTTCAGGTGACTTCTGGGAGTTGTTTTCAAATTTATTTGAATGTCATTAATATCATCTCTTGGTAATACAATTCACCCTTGAACAACATGGGGGTTAGGGGGACCAGCTTCTGCTTAGCTGAAAATCCAAGTGAGGAAGCCTTACTGATAACCTAAGCAGTCAATTAACACAGATATTATATGTATAAAGTAAGGTAGAGAAAAGAAAATGTTATTAAGTAAATATATATTTACAGTATTTATTGAAAAAAAATCCACAGGAAAGTGGATCCATGCAGTTCAAACTGTTATTTAAGGTTTAGGTAGTTGGTTTCACAGATGCAGCCCTAAGAGGAACCAGCCATTACATATTTTTAAGTGTTTGTTTATGGCAGGAGTGACTGCAGCACTTTGTTCTGCCTGAAATTCTCATCTTATCTTAACCTTGGGTTTGTGTGTGTGTGGTGGGAGGAGGGAGGCAGGAGGTGGGGGGTGGGGAGAGAGAGAGAGAGAGAGAGAGAGAGACCCTCAAACAGGTGTATGTAACTGCATTTGTGGGTCAAGAGCTCTTGGTGGCTGTCACCTGGACTCCCTAGTTTGCATATGCAAGTAACTTTAGAAATATTTATGTTCTGTTTATTTTTTAAGGTATAAAAAGTAATGTGGTTCATACTGGCAACCTGTTATGCTAATAATTCTTTATGTCAGCGGTTGCCAACTGGTGGTCTGTGAGGTCCGAAAGGCTGGCGACCGCTCTGTTATGTGACAGTTGAACCAAAGGGATAATATCTTTTGGGAATAACTTCTCCTCCCTAGTGTTTTCAAATTACGTGAGTATATTAAAAATAAAGTTACCCCCATCTGATTTTAAATGTTGGCTTCTGAGAGAGAAATAAGTAAAAGCAAATATTTTACCATACCACTTTATAACTGTTAAGAATAAAGTGCTTGGATCATTTAACATGTCAGTATTGCATCTTTTCAGTAATTTATGTGGCTTTTTGATTTTTGGAATGGAATTTTTTTTTAAGTGTGTATAATGTAAGCATTGTAACTTACAGTGTATTTAATGCTTCATTTTCTGTAAGCAAAGTGTGCCAGGTCTTAAATATAGATTCCTCTAACTGGAGATCTTTTTTTTTTTTTTAAATATATTTTATTGATTTTTTACAGAGAGGAAGGGAGAGGGATAGAGAGTTAGAAACATCGATGAGAGAGAAACATCGATCAGCTGCCTCTTGCAGACTCCCCACTGGGAACGCACCCACAACCACGGTACATGCCCTTGACTGGAATCGAACCTGGGACCCTTGAGTCCGCAGGCCGATGCCCTATCCACTGAGCCAAACCAGTCAGGGCTCTAACTGGAGATCTTGTTAGGATCATTTTCTTATGAAACAAAAACACTGACTTGCTTTAAGTTGTGAATTTTTCTTTTGATTTGATTTAAAAATATTTTATTGAATAAACAAAACCGAGGTTTACCTTTAAGTGAGTGATACCTTTTGGGCTGTGTATGTCCAGGTAAGTTCTGAAGCATGTCCAATTTCTCTCTTGGACCTCTTGGGGAAGTATAAGGAGCCGTGATTGTTTGCCCTCTGGTGGTGAGAGATGGCAGTGTCTGGTCAAGTTTCATGTATTTGTACCTTTAACCTATTTGTGGTTTCTTTTTGAAATTGTTCCTCTTTAAAGACAAATATCTCAAAGAGTCTGCATAAAGATGTTTCTAATGCTTGCTGCAAATGCACTGTGTATTTTTCCTGAATGTATACTTAGCGTTTATTTTCTATACACATTTTTTTAAATATATAAAACACATGGATATCTACTGCATTTTATACACACAAACAGAGAATTTTTAAATTCAAAGGAGATGGAAGGAAAGAGAAGCAACAGGGCTGGTTCTGGGCATGAGTGACATTGGTTGCTGCTGTTATTAAGTAAACATGGAGGCTCTCAGTCATTAGTGGGCAGTGGGATGAGGTGCGTGCAGTTGAAAAGAGAATCCCATTGAGGGCTAAGATGGTGGGGTGAACAAATCATATTCTCTATCCTCACAAGTACAGTTCCATGTGTGCATAAACATTCACCAACTTTTTTTCCAATACATTAATTTCTTCCATTTCTCGAAAGCTCATTATATGTACAGTAAAGGCTCTCTTGAAAAAAAAACGCCAACTTACCTTAGGTGCTGGTTAGCTTGAGATGATGAGTAATAACCTATGTTTGGCAGCGATGTGAGAGCTTAATTAAATGTGTGACTGTCATTTGCTGATCCACAGATCTTTAATAAGCAGTCACACTACCACTTCCTAAGTTTGTCATTCTTAATATTTTCTGTTTATTTTTGACATCAAAAAGTGACATAAAGTGCAAGCTGTTGGACACAGTTATTAATTTAACTGTGAAAAAACAGTGTTTGATATAAATATTTTCTGTGCAGAGAAAGAAACAAAGGTAACACGGAACCTTGTGTATTTTTTTTTTTGCATTGCTGGAAATGTGTTTTCTCTAGCCCTCACCCTTCTTTGGTGTGGAATGGGTGGTGGTTGGGTGGGATATCTTTATACTCTGGGTTGCAGAAGTATTCCTGCAGAGAGGAGTAACATTTGCTTCCTCAGGGGCTCCCAGAGGTTTTCTCGCACCAGGCAAATCCTGGTGGTCCTGCAGGAGCTTTGTGTAGATTTGCGATACACTTTGGCAGGGTCAGGCTCTGGGTTTTGATCCCTGAATAGCCAGCACACTTCCTTGCTGTTCTTCTGGACCAGCAGAGAAGAGGCTTGATTAGAAGCTTCTAGGCTTCTTTTCATCAATCATGCAGGTCACCAAGAGATCCACCCCATTTTACTCTGCTCAGGTTGCACCGGGGCTATCTTATTCCTGCATTGGTTGCACCTCAGCCCCTGGAGCTACCCTTCCTCACCCCTCCACCCCCCCCAGACTTCTTCCTGTCATTGCTGTTTTTCATCTCCTAGGGAGTCCCTACTCTCTTTTTCTTTTAGCACATCTGTGTTTAAATTCTGTTGTTTTCAGTGTTATTGTAAGGAAAGGGAAAACTCGTTTCTTTAGTTGGCCGCTGGAAAGGTAGCACTAAATTATGTTCTCAGCATTTCCCTACCCCTCAGTAATAGTGGATTGTATCACATTTTAGCTATCAGACACACCCACCCCATAGAACCAGTGATAGACAAACCCACACATAGAACTAGTGTTAGATATGACACACCTCTCTCCTCGTAGAACCAGTGACAGACACACACACACACACACACACACACACATTCTGAAAGCCATGTTATCTGAAAGCACTTCTTCAGTACCAATTGTGCTTAATTTCTCTTGAATGGATGTTGAATAAAAGCCATGCAGTTTAAAAATATTTGAATCCTTGCAGCATTCATAACGGCTTTCATTGTTGTCACTTGTGTGGAAGTTCTTAAGGCAGTGTGGTTTTTTCTGTTGTTTTTTCCCTCCATTTGGGTGGCCTTCCTTCTCTTTTGTCTATCACCTTGAGCCAGACCATATTGTTAAGAGAGACTTTTGTGTTCTGAGTGATCAGAATCCCTGAAATATAGTTTAGACCAGTGGTTCTCAACCTTCTGGCCCTTTAAATACAGTTCCTCATGTTGTGACCCAACCATAAAATTATTTTCGTTGCTACTTCATAACTGTAATGTTGCTACTGTTATGAATCGTAATGCAAATATCTGATATGCAGGATGGTCTTAGGCAACTCCTGTGAAAGGGTCGTTCGACCGCCAAAGGGGTCGCAACCCACAGGTTGAGAACCACTGGTCTAGACTGTGGGTCTTGATGCTTTAATTTTGTGAAATATTTGCCAACATTTTCTCTAATTCTGCATGGGTAATAGTTTACCTTTACTCAGCTCTCTGACGTCAGGTTGTTGAGCATGAAGAGATGCAGGCACTATGGTGCCCCCTGGAGGTGCGCAGGCCTTCTGTTCAGCGTCCCCTTTTTGGTTTATTTCTTTTTAAAAAATATATATATATTTTACTGATTTTTTACAGAGAGGAAGGGAGAGGAATAGAGAGTCAGAAACATCAATGAGAGAGAAACATCGATCAGCTGCCTCCTGCACAACCCATACTGGGGATGTGCCCTCAACCAAGGTACATGCCCTTGACCAGAATTGAACCTGAGACCCTTGAGTCTGCAGGCTGACACTCTATCCACTGAGCCAAACCCGTTAGGTTCTTTTTGGTTTATTTCAATTGAGGTTGCTGTACCGTTGCTGTACCATTCATGTTTGGCTATGTGGGGGCTGGTGCATTTGGTTGTCTCTAGTTTTGATCAATAAAACTACATTACATTTTTATTTCAGAAAAGCCTGTGTCTCCCAAATCTGGAACATTGAAGAGCCCTCCCAAAGGATTTGATACAACTGCCATTAACAAAAGCTATTATAATGTGGTGAGTAATTGCAAAACAGTTTTTAATAATACTTTGTTTTTTGAATGTCTCTAAAACTCAGTAATATATAGGTAAACTACTGAGACTATGATAAAGATCCTTATCTAATAAAAGAGAAGCATGGTAATTGGCGTACGACCACTACCCTTCCCATTGGCTAATCAGCGAGATATGCAAATTAACTTCCAGCCAAGATGGCGGCCGGCAGCCAGGCAGCTTGAAACTAACATGAGGCTTGCTTGCCTCAGTGTTGGAGGAACGTTGGAGGAAACCAACGTTCTCCGCCTGCGGCTGCAGGCCTCTGAGTGGGCAGTTTAAGAAATTCTGTAACAAATACCGTCGGACTTCAGCCAGAAGATTCACAACACTGTAAGCAAAGGCCAGAAACCTACTTTTAGCCACGGAGGCCTAAGAGCTGGAGCCAAGCCTCAAAGCTAAAGCTGGCCCAGAATAAAAAGAAAAAGAAAAAAAAGAAGCAGTCGGGAGCTTCAGTCACCCCCAGCCTGAAAACAGCACTCAGCCCCTTACCCAGACTGGCCAGGCACCCCAGCAGGGACCCCCACCCTGATCCAGGACACCCTTCAGGGCAAACCAGCCGGCCCCAC